CCGAATCGACTAGCTCATTTTATGCATGTTATTACCAAAGAAGAAAAAAGAAGTCAGTCACTCACTTACTCACTAGGCCTATATCTGACATTGAAGTCTAGAAGGTAGAAGGGTGCATTGCATACTTTGAATATTAGGACATTGCTAACGTTTTAATTTCACAGATACGACATATACGTGACATGTTCATAATTCCTGCAAAGCCCAGTCTACAGAATTTGAGGTTGGCTGCAAATGGGACGGCATAGTATCTTTAACTGAAGGCCCGATGTGGGTGTGTATGTGGGGGGGGGGGGGTACATACTCCAGCTTACCTAAACAAAACTAATATGAATTTCGAGTAATACAGAATAAAGCATCGTCAGTCTCAGCATGCCCCAAATCACCAGTCGGTTACTCTGCATAATAATTATGATTACTATTTACACCCTAAATTCTTCAAAGGTAAATTTCATGGATCAATAATAAAAAGTCCGGAATAAATAGGCCTATGCTATAAATATGAAAATTAATTTCCTTTCCTATCCCGGACTCATTCTGGAATCATAACGCCTGTTTGTTATGGGGACAATCAATACACCATGAGCAACCAATATCCGACCTAGTTACATGCACAAAATTAATTCCATCCGTCGAACATGGATGCCCTGTATAAAATGCGTCTGTGTCGTTGGCATCATATAGTATGGCATGACATTGTTTGCTAACAACTTCATCGCCTACACGTCAATCCCGTGTGGTCTAGTGGTTAGGATTCGTGGTTTTCACCCACGCGGCCCGGGTTCGATTCCCGGCACGGGAGGCAATCATTTTTATCAATTTTTTTGTTGAAAGAAAATTCAGACAACTAGTTGCTGTTCAAGAGATCGATGGCTGCTATAGTTGCCTATCATAATGTCACTGTCATGCTTTCGTGTGTTTATGAATTTCAATCCAGTTTTAGACTCAGCAGCATGCTTATATAACAGAGTTCTATGTAAGAACAACTATATTGAAATACCAATAGAGTATTTATTATTTATACATTTATTATTCACGTTGAATTAGCAGTGAATAAAACAATATCATCGTGCTCATTTTTGAGCTCATAAAATCCGGCGTTAATCTCATAAACTATTTTGCTTCCTCTCCTTTTAGCATGCCTTGTACAGTTTGTAAATCATTATTTTTTAGCTATAGAGGCATGAACTATGAAAAACATTCCGACCTACAAAAAATTGAAATCCATCCGTTGAAAATACTCGGATGCCCTGCTTTGGATTAATGGAATATTATCTGGAACGACAAAAAATGTTTGCGGATGCAGACTAGAGCTCAATTCTTGCCAGTCGTGTTGCAATATTTCCTGTCGCACTTTGCACCACAACAAAAATACGCTGCACTATAAATTTACCCTTGCTTTTGATCGAGAATAACAATCGACGAGTTTTCTTGAAAAACAACTATATCAAAATATCATTTTTCATGAGCCAAGCTGAAATAACAGACCTTCATTTAGAGTAATACAAGTTTAAAAGATACGTAGATTTGGGAGGCTATTATAATTGTCGTGTTTTTATTATAATGAATCTAATATTATCATTATCAAAATGGAAAGTTTGCACTAGTGGCCGAGCTAGTTGCGAGCTGTGGTGCAATTGTAATAGTCTTCCTTGTAGAGGCCTACACTTTTCTTATTATTGTATTATTGCACAATCTGAACACTCTTTGACAAGCAACAACACCGTGAACAAAAAACAAATCGTATCGTCATGTCCATGGTCTCTCTACTCGATTCTCTTTCACAATTGTTGTTTCTCTCTGCCTTTCTTTCTTCCTTTTCGAATTAAAAAATAAATAAATAAATAAGTTTTTAGTTAAATGTATTATTTCATTTGCATTAAGTAGGCCTACAATTACATCGACAAACGATTTCGTTGGCTTGGTATGATTAAATTTTGTGCCAGTCTAAAATTATTAAAGCAGAACAGTTCCATATAGGCCTATATTATTCCGGGAGAGAACAGTGTTATAACTGCACATTCTATCACAAAAATCCTATAGGCTATACATTTTGATAGACGATGCAATATGAAACAAGTCACAACAGTTGCTCTAGTATGGATCCACGTCATAGCTCGATCAGTAGAACATAATTATATTCAACACAGTTCTTTATTCACTAAAGTTGGATGTTGGGCAACTCGGGACATGGCAATCCCGTGTGGTCTAGTGGTTAGGATTCGTGGTTTTCACCCACGCGGCCCGGGTTCGATTCCCAGCACGGGAGATCTTCATTATTTTGGGCTCCAACAGTATCAAACAGGCTTCTTTATAAATAATGTAATATATTCTGTAATATATTATTGTCAACGTCCTGTATAACAGTTCTTATATAGACGTACCTTTATGTTTTTCTATTTTAATACATAATTTTGGTCCTTTGGTTATCGTGATAATTATGTTAAAAATCAACCGTACTTGCTCTTTGCTCGATTCTCTTTCACCATTTTTGTTTCTCTTTTCGTTTTTCTTCCTTTCTTTTCCATCCTATTGGAGCACGTTCCTCCGTGACCTATAGTTTTAATTAAAAATAAAGACCGGTTATATGGTCATGCGATTGCATTTTGAAAGAAACGATGTGGAATCGATCAGAAAAGGTTGATCATCTATAGCATATAAGTATTAGGGTGTACTGCAAGGTTCTGGAATCATCAAAATGATAAGAAATTTGGCCTAGTCTTCGTAAAATTACAAGCACTGTACCATGGGCGTCAATCAGGCGCGTAGCCAGGGGGGGCGGTGGGGGCAGTCGCCCCCCCCCCCCCAAAACGCCGGCCAAAAAAAAAAAGAGAGAGAAAGAGAAGAAAAAGAAGAAAGAGGACGTAGGAAGAAAAAGGAAAAGGAGTCGAGAACGGTACAATGAATCGTCAAAGCTTCCGCGCTTCGCGCGGAAAAGGGGAAACTGAGTTCAAATTAAGAAATATGAGTGGGGAAAGGTACAACGAATCGTCTTCTTTCTCTAATAATTTAATGAAACGTCAAAGCTTGCGCGAGAGGGGGTGGAACAGAATTCAGACAAGGATAAAGAGTCGAGAAAGGTACAACGAATCGTCTTCTTTCTCTAATAATTTAATGAAACGTCAAAGCTTCGCGTGGGAGAGGGGAGGGACTGAATACAGATAAGGGTGAAGAGTCGAGAGAGGTACAACGAATCGTCTTCTTTCTCTAATAATTTAATGAAACGTCAAAGCTTCGCGCGAGAGAGGGGAGGGACTGAATTCAGACAAGGATTATGAGTCGAGAAAGGTACAACGAATCGTCTTCTTTCAAAGCTTCCGCGCTTCGCGCGGGAGGGGGAAACTCCCCCCTCCCTGCACCCACCCCCCTAGGGAGCGCGCTTCGCGCGCTCTTTAAGTGATTCGCACGCTACGCGTGCTCACTACCGCCCCCCTAAAATGAAATCCTGGCTACGCGCTTGGCGTCAATCCTTACGTAATACCTATTGTTCAGGGGGGGGGGGGGGTGAATGAATAGATCACCACCCCCCCCTTGAACAATAGGTATCAATGACAGAATGATTTACGCCCATGCACTGTACACATAAAGATGAATATGGGACTACGCGACACGTGCGCGACACAGGCGCGATATCTATCGGGTCCAAATAGATATAATATTTTACGAAATATTCAAAAGTCATCTACGTCCAATCTTTAAAACAACACTGGAAGGGGGTTTCGTGAGTCGGAAACTCCGGCTCTATGTGAGTAAAAAAAAAAAAGTTTACACCTAGAAAAATACTCGAAATTTCAATTTATTTATAAAACTGGAATATCATCATCGATGACAATATTGATGATTTTTTTTTCATAGGTTTTTATTCATTTCTCTTATAAAGAAAATTGTACATAATTTATAACATTGTATACAAAATAACAAAAGAATCTTCACATAGGTCTAAATAAATTTGCAAGGGAACTTTTACATTTACATACAAGGTTACAAATAAAGTTACACATTTACAGATGAAAAATATTCACATAATCAAAATTATATTTTCACATCTAAAAAAAAATCGCAAATAAAGTTTGTACTATTTTCTCGACCAGTTTGCTTATAAATTTCAAATTATTTCTTTTATTTTCCAGTGTTTTGTTTTCCTCTTAAATTTCCTTCAGAGAAAAAAAAGAGGGGTTATGATAAAAAATATATTTAAAAAAGATAAATGATGAAAAATAAAAAAAAGAGAAAGAGCTAGATAACACCTACTACCCCCGCCTCACACAACATTTAAGCACATAACAAGAACAACAGTATACAAAACACACACCAACATAGAACGAACAAACAAACAAAAGAAAAAAAGAGAAAGTAAAAAAAGAAGAAAAAAGAAGCAACAGTTTGAACTGAAATTCTCGCTGTTTACTACTTAAGGTATACATCCTTGGTTGAACAAATATGTTTTCTACTTCTTTTCTTGAAATATTACAAAGTGACATTAAATTGCGGCCTGCCGAGTTTGTTTCTACATTCTTCTTAATTTGACTCTTATATACCTATTTTGCATTTGAATCTTCAAATATAAACACTTTCTTTGAAAAAATAAATTCTAAACTAAAGCCAGTGTGAATTGACTTTCTTAAAGATAAAGACCAGTTATTGTCATGCGATTGCATTGTGAAAGAAACGTTGTGGAATCGATCAGAAAAGGTTGATCATCTAGTATTGGTGTGTACTGCAAGGTTCTGGAATCATCAAAATAATAAGAAATTTGGCCCAGTCTTCGTAAAGTTACAAGCAATGTACACAGAAAGATGTATATGGGACTATACGCACACATGCGCGACACGTGCGTTTATCTCTCACACACCAATAGATAAACTAATTTACCAAATGTATCAATTAGTAGGCGTTTTCCCGGCAAAATTGTTATCATCATGATTGTATTAGTCAAAACATACTCTTTCACATGATTGGTAATAAGAGCTTCTTTCATTTTTTAAAATTGGGGCGTTTCCAATACTGGTCTTTACCTTTAAAGGTTGAACATTTTGTTTCCATTCATAAGGGGCTACTTTATAAATTTTGTTTACTTTATCAATTTCCACTCTGCTCAAACCTAACATTATAAAATGAGCTTCAGGTTTCAATTCTCCATTTTCATCACAAATGTGATGAAGTCGATATATATTCTTTTTAAAACAAAGTTTCCTCAAATAAGGTTTGACCTTCTAGTTGAATAAAATTATTATTATACAATATTCCCTCTGTATCTCTCTCCTCTTTTAACATATTCTTTCATATCTATCCATGATTTCAGAAGATTCTGATAAAAAGAATGATGATGATGCTAAAAAGTATCGACTTGCATGGCATTACAAATATTGGCCAATTTTTATGACATTAAAATCACATATTTCAATCGAATATATGAATATATTTGTTTACATGTATAATATAATCACAATGTATATCTATTTTGAAATTCACAACTTTGGTAATAGGCAATTCGCAATGATTACATCATCAAGTATAAACTTCTATATAACCATAAAAATAGAAAACAGACAATAGCTACGTATAGTAAAGGCATACTGTCGGTCCGTTATATAAAATTATACAACTATTACAGTCAAACCTTCTTTTTGTTACAACAAGTATCCTTTTTTATGAAGCTTTGCCTGAAAACATTGCTCCTTTTACTTTGAAACATAACACATAAGGAATAATGTTGCCAAAAGCCAAAATGACTTTAAAGATTTTTTTTTTTTTAAAGGTGTTATTTAAAGTCCAATAATGATATAACAGTCTAGATGACGTAAGCCTCCTTGGTTTTCTTCATGAGGCAGCATCCTAGTACGATACACAAGATCTGAAATAAACATGAGAATACAAGGTCAAAGATATCACTAAAGGTTTGCATGCATGGGTATAAAACCGATTCTGATCTAAAATATTTTAGACCAGCAACTAATTTCCCAATTGTTAAACCCGATTTGAATACGGGCCATGGATTCAGATATACAATCCGGATTCCTAAAGAAGTATTGCCGATATAGAACCTCGTTCAAAATTGATTTATGGATGCAGAGACAACACCAGAGGAAGAAACCGCCCTCTGTCCCCTGGGGGTTCAACCCCCAACCCCCCCCCCCCCCCTTGGTATTTTTTATGTGTGTATTTTGGAGGAACCCCCCCCCCCCCCTTATTCAGCGGCGGGCTGAGTCGTTGCGAAATTTTCGGCCCGATTTCAAAATGTTAACCCCCCCCCCCCCTTTAAAAAAATCCTGCGTACGCTACTGCCTGTATCACACCCTGAACTTTTTTCTCTTGTATTGGCATAACATTTTTATTGTCGCCTCCCAGTCACTGGCCCCTTCTTGATTTCAATGCTTAAAATAACACAATAACACAATATAGTATTTTTGTAATACGCTCAAATTGTTGTAGGCATGTGTTTCTCCTATAATACCTAACTTATATTTTTGCTGTTGATACGTCGGCAAAGCTCTGATTAGACTTTAGAGCATTTTTTTAAAAATAGAAAGTGAGCATAAACATGAGATGCACTCACATCAAGAACGGCCACACCAATGGCAACTCCTGCGATGAGTACAGTCTGATTAATCAGGATATCTTTGACTGCGGAGTGGCAAGGCTGAAATAAAAAATTATAAAAAAAAAAAAAAAAATCAGGGATCGATTACGCATGCGTATATAATTATACTTCCCTAATAAGACCTTCAACCTCAGAAGCAAGAAAGAATCACAATCAGTCATGATGTGTCAATTCTGAAAATTTTGAAATTGAAGTTTTAAAACATGGCTTGTTAAAAAAATTATTGGAACATCTGTCGGCACAATATGTAAAAATTGGACGATCACACTGTCGGTATATTTTGAAATCTGGAAACCACTTTTTTTTTCTCATTATTATTATCTTATTTTGTTTTTTTTTGTTTTACCGGTTGCGAAATTTCGTGCGATCTTGTCAGCCGTTCCCTAATAATACGAAATGAAAACCGCTTGGTCATGGAGGAAAGATATAGACTTGGAATCCGTACTACTAGAGATTGATGCTCTTGTTCAAAGTGAGATAATTTGGTCTTCTTAATCTGAAGTGACAATCGCACAAGTATTCACTTTGTTCTTATATTACCTCAGCATAAATAAACACTTGGGTCGACAGGGACAAACGTGGGGAAAATATCTTGTCCAAAGATGTTTGGCAGGGATCGAACCCTAGACCTCCCGTACGAGATTCAAGAGCCTTTATCAACATATCACAGTGGTCCCACGTCAACAGGTTGACGGGGTCAAGGGGTAACGAAGGCACCCAGCCCCCCCCCCCCCCCATATTGAAAGAAGATAGTATGAAAAAATGAAAAGGCGAGAATAGAGAAAGTGAAATGGACAAGGACGAGAACAATACGCTTCATTTTCCGAGAAAGACCGCCCCCACCCCCATCGCGGTCATCGTTCCAATGCCCCCATCAAACGGTGAACGCACGCTACGCCTCTGTATACTTGACTATATATAATAAGCTCAATTCTTACGTCTGTATATATATCCAAGGTAGCTGAGCCAATGATATGGCATCCCGGAGTATCAGGTGTTTTACAGCATGAATAAGGAACAAGGTTAGGTTGATCAGGTATCCAGCCCATCCAATCAGTGTAGTTATAAACCCCGCAACACTTCAGCTTTATCACACATAATACAAAGTTAGGATTAAACGTCCGTAAATCATCTTATAAAATCTCATAATCTATAAATTTAACTTAGAGTTGTAGTAAAACAGTTACACGGTTATAACAGTAAATGTTTAACCAAATAGATTTATTTACAGCCTTTTATGTCATTTTTTACTTTTAGTTTCTCTTTGTTAGTTTTCATTTTTCAAAATGATATGGGGCATATCCAAGATTCCGTTTCCGTAAAACCGGTACAATGCCACCACCCCGCTCCCCGTATCTATGAAGCCCAATATGTGTGTATTCATATAGTTTACAAAAAAGGTACTCGAAACGGCAAGCCGCCCGTTTACTTTGTGGAATGAAAATAGAAATGAAAGTATCAAAAATAAAGTATCTGGAAGGAACGTGCTGGGACGATCCAACAACCACAGTGATGAGGGTGAACAAATGGTCATCGTCTCAAATAATTAACCCGTTTACTTCGTAGAGTCATCATAGGAACGGAGGACGCTGTAAGCCAAGGTGATGGGTGCGTGGCTATGCACCACTCGGCGCCCCTAGTGAAAAAGTTGATTTTGCTTCGACTTTTTTTTTTATTCGGAAACAGTTTTTTACTTACGTTGTACTGTAGGTTATCGAAGATTCGTTGAGCTGAAGTAGTTGAGTTATATTTTATCTGAAGCTCAGACATATTCTCACCGACCAGCTTATCAATGTCATCACGTAGAACATAACCAGTGATGCCGGCAGCAAGCTCCAAGATCAGAAGAAGGATCATGATGAAAACATACTATAAAGATGTTCAACGAAAACACATTTTTACTTCTTAAAACGGCCCCACGCTCAGAAGTACCATGAATTATTCATTTATTTGTTATTTTAGTTTTCTCTAAACAGGGTAGCCCTTTCAATAACGAATTTTGCTCTTAGGAATCTTTTGAAACGGCCGAATCTCAAGGTTGTTTTTTTTAAGTGGGGAGTGAGCAGCATATCTTAGTGTATATAAATAGAAACTTTTCTCGGAATTATATTTTCTTTCAAATACAAAGGCATGAGATCATTTTGGATTTTATACATTTACATTTAGGTACTTAATTCTTTGACGAACTGATTGCCAAGAAAGTTCGGGTCACATAGTGAGGTGTATAGGTTTTGTAATGATTGAACTCTTGTAATATTGCATATTGCACTCTGCCCCCTATCATATTATAATACAGTCATCAATGTGCTGTAAAAAGAGATTATTAATTATCATTAATAAAACTTGTTAGGGCAAGATATACCGAATGCGTCTGTTAACATTAATCGTTCTTGACAACTTATTCATCATGCATTAAAGGCCCACTGCACTACTTGTAGCTACTTTCGCCCTCTAACAAACAATGCCTAATCGGTGACCAGTGGTCCCCCATGATCCTCTTTTTCTTATGTTAACTGAGAGCTGAGTTGATGAGATAACCACCTGTCCAGTGACCTTGCAGGGCAGTCTAATCCCTCCTGTAAACTACGGCAGATAAGCTTTAATATGACAATTCCAACATAGGCAAGAGTCTTAACATCAATCCGAGGTACTTACATTCATTAACTTGTTTGAGTTTGTTACACTTTAAATACATTTGTAGTTCTTTATTCTTCACATTTGGACGAGTCCTAATCAACATGCATGCATTTTGATTTCGATATGTATTAGGCCTATATAGGGTTAATCGACTTCACCAATCATTAATTGTACGATTTTATTCATTCCTAACTGATTTTTGTTTTGGTTTGTTTAAGTAGAGCAAAATGGAGGAAACCTCGCAAGACACGTCACAGAATTGCCAGTTTGTGTTAGATTGATCACAGCTTTACAAATTCATGACTTTCTTATTTCTAATCGGAAATTGCTTAAACGTTGACTGGCCTGTTCCTCTCAATGTTCTGATACAATTGGAACCAACTTAATATCAAGGTGGATTCTCCTTCAAATTTTAGAGAGTACAGAGGACCGAGAAAGCAATTAAAGGTACTGTGTATTTTGCAGGCCAAAAAAATGAAAAAGTTAAATTCCAACTGCATTTGAAAGATAATACTAATTTAGAACTTCCCTAAAAAAGGTGGGGCTTGAAAATGTCTTCAAGTGGGAAAATAACGACTATTAGTTGTCAAATCGACTTTAGGGCTATAGAGCCCAAAAGTAATAGTCTTGATTTTCAGACAATTGTACCGAATAGTTATACGTTTTATGCTGCGCAAAGATTCAATCAGTTTAATCTTGGCCATCACAAGAAGTGGGTTATTGATGTAGAAAAATGCTCATGTACCCTTTACAACTCTTTTCATGTATGTTATTACCAAAGAAGAAAGAAAGCCAGTCAGTCATTCAGTAGTGTCTGACAGTGAAGTCTAGCAAGTAAACGGGTTTCCTTGCATAATTTGAATATGAGGACACTGCTAATGTTTAAATTTCACAGATAGGATATACATGACATATTCATAATTCCTGCAAAGTTCTACACCATTTGAGGTTGGATGCAAAAGGGACATAGTACCTTTAACAGAACCTTACCGTTTTCAGCATACCGTAGCTCTCTCTGAAAGCCCCACAGCATCCTAAGTATGAGACGATCATGATGATGAAACCGACTGTGATGAGAAGTGCAGGTATAGCTTTCCCTGAATTATTAGTGAAGTCAACATACTCCTGGTAGACGGTGAGGGTTAGGAAGCCTGCAGTGATTATACCAATACCCACGATCTGCAATCAAAGAGACCAAGGCCAACCGTACAACTGATTATATACATGATTATCCAGTTACTTCATACATTTCGAAATATTCATTGGGCTTTACAGCCCAGGGGGCAGAATTTATTTTTCTATAATCGTTTTCCCTTATTATTATCTATTCTTTGTTTTGTCGGTACGTTGGACCTTTTGAAACGTTCTTCTTCTACAGTCTGACATAATCTTTGGTTTGTCGGTCTTTGGAGCTGTCGGTAAACTTCGATGATCGCGTTTGGTTGTCGGAATGAGCTGAGCTGATTGCAATGCGTTGAATTTAATTTTGGAATGTTGTCATAAAACTGTTGTACTGTATTCTGATCAGAACCAGTAAGGCATTGATTCTATGTAAATTGATATGACATAATGCCCTTTTTGCTCTCAAGAGATGATAGATGAAATCATAAAATGGGTTCCAGAATGTAGCCAATGAGAAGCGTCGAAATGCATGGATCACGTGTGCGTGCATTTTTTTTTAAAACCATAATGCACGGGGAGTGCATTTTGGTAATAACAACCGTCATTTCCCCGACTTTATGCTCATATTGTAGATCCATCTTATAACATAAATAATACATGTTTGCGAATGCATTAGTGAATATTAACTACACGCAGGGTCACCGTAATGAACGAGGCTTGTCGAGTTCATTGTCTGCCACAGTCATTGTGACTTATTGTAACCACCATTACCTGTGACCTCGGCTTCCTGACTCGTTTCAATTTCTTTGTCTAAAATTACTTACGACAAATACAAAAGTGAAGATAAACATGCAGTACTTGATCCATTTCATTCCTCTCATTCCTACTAACGCCATTTTGAATGATCTTGTCGATAGAGACTCCCTCACAAACACTGCCAAATGATATGTATAGACACCAATGTAGTTCTGTAGAGAAAGAATTCACTGCTACCCCTATGTACTGTGTAATGCAATTCTGAATTACCCTTTGTATGCTTTTTACGAGCTATATGCCTTTGAACTTATTCATACTCTCGTTAGCTGCCGCGTGCTCGAGATGTGCAAATAAAGAACACTTAGGCCTAAAATATAAACTTGTTGTATTGCCCTTTGGGTGCCAAAACATGGGTCGGTCGGTCGGAAAAGTTTTTATTTTTTAAAACTTTTTTTTTGTCGCCCTCTTTGGGCCGATATTTTTCAGATTTGATTTTTTTTTCTTTTTCCCCAGCCTCTTTTGGTTGATATTTCTCTTTTAATACATGTGTTTCAGTGTCATCATTCCATTCATATCTTTTTCACCTCATAATTATCCATGGTTTTGCACGAGTGAGAATTTTTGAATAATTTGATTTTATGCATTTATATCCCAAACAAAATATATATTTGTTTATTCATTAATTTTTAAAAAATCTAAAAAAACGGTTGAAATTTTTTTTTTTTTTGAAATGCCGACCGTAGATTTTCAGATTTTTGGGTCGGTCGCAAAGGGCAATACAACAAGTTTTTATTTTAGGCCTTATTTTCCTACGCAAATCAGAAATATAGATCTTTCTTTATATAAATATCTTGTGGTTTATTTGAGGGGTAAATATATGGGGTAAATAAATCTAATCATGACTATATGGTCGTGTTCTGAGCTTTCTCTTTCTGATTCGGTAATTTGACTGTTACGGTATTTGAATATTTTCAGAACAGTGCCCGATCGAGCTTTGTTATAGCTCTATTCAATATATCGCCTCTCAATTCCGATATACATACTTGAATAAATATATTAAAAAGGTGTCACCCCTATTGATCTTACTGGCTGCTAAATTGCATAAGTGTATTAACTACTAAGAGGTGAATAACATTATTAATCGCGGCATAAAATGATAAGAATTGCCATCATGAATGAAGTGATATTTATTTTATGTTTAAAAAATACATTACATCACAGGGGAATCACCGTTTCCCGAACTTATAGTAAGAGGTTTGCGTCCGTGAACTTGATGATCATAAGCCCATTATTTTGTACCTATATGGCCGGCTACAAGACCTTATTTTGTAGTTGTTGAAGGTTCATAATTCCGAAAATACGTTTTTTTTCCGATGGTTCGTAATTCCGAAAAATTAAATACTGAACCCTGTATCATTTTTTTTTTAATTACTAACTATATAATTATGAGCCCCCTGGCATGGTAGATTTGCGTTTCAGAATTATGAACCTTCGAAAAAATTAACCTTCGGAAAAACGAGTAACCCTTTATCGCCATGGTTCTTTGCTCTTACATCTTCCTGCTCATACATGGTATATTTATGTCGTGCATTGTGCTATCCTAAGGCCCCCCCCCCCCAAAAAAAAAACATGTTTAGCGTCCTGTTTTTTCGAAAAATAGGAAGGAGGAGGCCCTTTTTTTTTTTTCTTTCTTTTTTCTTCTTCAAAATGGCCGCTCAAAATGGCCGCTCGGTAAATTTTCCCTGAGAGTCGGGCTATTTTTACTGATGGCCGCGGACATTTTTTTTTTTAAAATCAGAAATAGACTCATTTTAGCAGTGTTTTTTTTTCTTTAAAAAAAAAATAGGAGGCGGCCCCAAAAAAAGGAAGCGGGCGGGGACGCTAAACATGTACATTTTTGTTAATGGCCTTAGTAGGCGGTTTCTCGGCAAAATTTGTATAATACGTATTAGTCCAAACATATTCTTTCACATAATTGGTAATAAGAGCTTCAATTTCATTTTTTGAGAGGGAGGGGGGGCGTTTCCCAAACTGGTCTTTACCTTTAAATGTATTATTTCCTTTGCATTAAGTATACTTTCAAATCGACAAACAAAATGAGGTAACTAATTTGTATGTGCATATTCAAAACAAGTCACAACGGTTGCTCTAGTATATGGATCCACGTCATAGCTCGATCAGTATAGGATAATATTCAATACCCTTCTTCATTCAATAGAGTTGGATGTTGAACTTATCACGACATGGCAATCCCGTGTGGTCTAGTGGTTAGGATTCGTGGTTTTCACCCACGCGGCCCGGGTTCGATTCCCGGCACGGGAGATCTTTATTTTTGGGGGGTCCCACAGTATCAATGCAGGCTCAATAATGTAATATTATTGTACCTATATAATATGTGCCCGTCCTGAATAAAGTAACGGTCTTCATATAAATTATTTAGACGTAAATTATCCGACAGTACCTCCATGTTTTTCTAATATGATGCACATGTAGTTCGGTCCATTGGTTTTGGTGGTAGGTTGAAAATTAACCGTCCTTAATTGCTCTCTACTCAGTTATCTTTCATTATTTTTGTTTCTCTTTGCCTTTGATTTAAATAATTTATTTATTTATTTTCCATCCCATTGGGGCATGTTCCCCAGTGACCCATGTAGCTACCCCACTTTGGTCCAGCTATATCGATGGGGTTAGTACGTTAAGTTGCCTTTGGACAGATCACTGTCGATGGTAGCCAATCCAGCAAGAAAGATAAAAAGCAATGGTAATTCGCAGGGATTTTATAATTAAAAAATTAATAAACATAATTATTATTAGTGTTCTCGTGCAGAATAGTGTATATATACTTGGTATTAGTTTTTAGTTAAATACATTATTTCGATTGCATTAATTACTATCAAATCGACAAACAATTTCGTTGAGTAAATTGGGAAATATTAATATCTAATTTGTATGTGCATATTTGAGCTGTCTAAAATTAAGCAGAACACTTACATATGCCTATGATATATTCCGGGAGAGAAGTTGAAATACATTTTGATAGAATGATGCAATATGAAACAAGCCACAACGTACGGTTGCTCTAGTATGGATCCCCCGTCATAGCTCGATCAGTATGATATGTTCAACACCCTTCTGTGTTCAATAACGTTTGATGTTGAACTCGTAACGACATGGCAATCCCGTGTGGTCTAGTGGTTAGGATTCGTGGTTTTCACCCACGCGGCCCGGGTTCGATTCCCGGCACGGGAGATCTTCACTATTTTTTTAGTCAGAATATTCTGTCAACTCCCACATCAAAGCAGGCTTAAAAATAATGTAATATATTATTGTGCCTATATAATTATGGGCACGTCCTGAATAAAGCAAAGGTCTTCATAATAGTTATATAGACTACCTCCACTTTTATCTATCTTAATATACATGTAGTTTGGTCCTTTGGTTTTGGTGGTATGTTAAAAATCAACCGTACTTGCTCTTTGCTCGATTCTCTTTCACCATTTTTGTTTCTCTTGGCCTTTTTTTCTCTCTTTTCCATCACATTGGAGCACGTTCGACAGTGACCTAGTTTTTAATTAAATGTATTATTTCCTTTGCATTAAGTATAGTATCGAATCGACAAACGATTTCGTCGGCTTGAAATGAGTTAACTAATTTGTATGTACATATTTGAATCAAGTCACAACGGGATCCCACATCATAGCTCGATCAGTAGGATATATTCAACACCCTTCTTTATTCAATAAAATTGGATGTTGAACTCATCGCGATATGGCAATCCCGTGTGGTCTAGTGGTTAGGATTCGTGGTTTTCACCCACGCGGCCCGGGTTCGATTCCCGGCACGGGAGACCGACATTATTTTTTAAATCAGAATTTAACAATACATGTATTCTGCCAACTCCCACATTATCAAAGCAGGCTTATAAATGTAGTATATTATTGTGCATAATGTTCAGGTCCTGAATAAAAGCCTTGATGGCATAGGCCTATACCTCCATGTTTTTCTAATTTAATACATAATGTAGTTTGGTCCTTTGGTTTTGGTGCGTTGTTGAAAATAAACCGTCGTTGCTCCATACTTGATTCTCTTTCACTAATTTTGTTTCTCTCTGGCTTTCCTTTCCATCCTGGCACGTTCCACAGTGACTCATGTAGCTACCCAACGTAATCGGCCAAGATATCAGGGGGGGGGGGGGTCAGCAAATTTGCATTTGGACAGGTCACTGTCGATGATGAGCATAAATTAGAGGCTGCCAAAATTAATTGACACCCGGAAAGCAATGATAATTGAATTGGACTTGTATGCATAGTAATAATAATAACAATACTAATAATAACAATAATAACTTAATGAAATTAGTTTTCTCGTGCAGAATAGCTGGATTATATATAATATAGTTATATAAAGAGAGAGAGAGAGAGAGAGAGAGAGAGAGAGTGTGTTAATATAACTTTTAAATAAATATATTTCCCTGGCATGATCGAAGTATAGGCCTACATAACACAGGTAAATCGTCAGACGATCTCGTTGGCTTGATGTGTACATAAAGACATTGATTAAATCACGTAAACACCTAATCTTGCATTACATTTCAACTGATGTCGAAACCTTTACTTTACTTGGTACGTTCCGACAGACTTCGAGCTTTACAAATATAAGTATGATGTCATCTCGTTATTATAGAATGATGCTCCAGACGGCCTAGTGCTAATATTCAGACCCTATGTAAATTAAATTGGTTTTGGGCCGATTAATTTTGGAAAATACATCAATTCATGAATAGAGCAGACACTTTCCTGGAAATGTGTAGTAAAACAAAACAAAAGAAGAAGATTATGATAGGATTCATTACCAATGCGAGTTCAGCGAATTTAGTTCATTCTTTCAAACTCCATATGGATTTTTTTTTGTTTAAGTCTGATATATAAGACTAATCTACATGGGCGAATGCGGGAACGAAGTAAACAAACCGCCGCTGAAAGACGCTGTACAAGCCTATATAAAGGCAGACAATTTTGTTACCCATCAGACAGCTTCGAATCGCTCTTGTACCGTGCGTTTCAGGGGAATCAGCCTGTGGCTTAGATCTCGTCTTTTACGATGGAGTTCTATGCTCAGGTGCTGTTTCATACCATCGCTTACTTCGTACCACTGCAGTTTCTACGCGGTCGGTAACGTTGGCACCGTGCCCTACCCGCGGGTGGAGGGCACTTCTTCTTGACTTGGGATTGGGGAAGAAACGGTGCTAAAACTCGGCTCTCGCGGGACTGACCCCACACAAGCGACCTCGCTGTCACCTTTATGGTGCTCGTAGGTGGTGGGGGAGGTTTCCCGGGG